ACACACTCAATCCATTTGGTCCAGATTAAGTAAAATATGTGTTTTCGTGTCAAGATGGATAAAGACAACTTTTCCATGATAGATATTGAATGTATTGTGTTTATCCAGTGGTTGATGGTAGGGGATTCTGCTTTCCACCATTTTCAAGTAATTGCTACCTTACTTGCGACAAGTAGTACGTTCAGGAATCTTGCATCACCAGTGTTCCAGCTAGACACAGGAACCTCACCCAGGAAAAATGTTTCACATTAGAAGGGAATTTTAGCTCCAAATTTATCATTAATATGTTCAAAGATCTCCGCCCAAAAGTCAGTTACAACCTGACTGCCCCAGGAATAATGGAAGCGATTGGCTCCAATTGTCCCTTACAGTCTCTAACATCCATCTCCACTACCATGACAATGTTTTTGGATAGTAGTGATAAAGTATCTAATTATATTCCTCCGCATTCTCATAATATGTCTGACCCTGTTGTCATCCACTCTAGATGGCACTGGATTTTCTTGTAAAACCTAGATATAGTGTTTTGCGCTTGTTGAAATTAGGTTAAGAAAAGGAATGTTTGCAAGAAGCCTAAACCATCATCCTGTGTGTTAGGTGCAAACTCCGAGTTGTTGGCACACTTACTCAAAACCTTTGAAAGTTCACCTACTTTAAACCTTTTACCTGTTTCACTACATGAATTTAGAAGATCAAATATGAAGACTCTGGTAAACGATATAGTCTTTTGCAGTTTAATATCTATCAGTACTGTCTGAAAAGGGAAATCTTTTATGAGCTTGACATCTATTCTCTTCCATCCAGCAGTATATGTTAAGGAATTTAGTCAGATTATGGGTTTGAGCTGAGCGGCATGATATAATTCCTTACAGCAGGAAAGTCCCATAATTTCAGTGTTTTGTATTTAATCCTGGCCCTTTTATGCTGCCGCCTCACCTTCGCCCACATCCTGTCCCATTAGTCAAAGTGTCTTTGAGGTACTTTATTAGAGAGGCACTGAAACAGGTAGAGCATTCAAGGAAGAATGCTCAAAACCGGCCTGGAGACTCTTATCTACTCTAAAGTTTATGGAGCTGAGAAATTGTGTCAAATTCCAAAATAAGATAGAAATGTGTCTTCTTTTAAACTTGGAAACTTCCAAATATAGCATCCCAATTTATTGTCTATGTGCCTTGTGAAAATATTTTCAATGTATGCACAGTTGCAAGCAAACATGCAGAGGTTTTTAACCTTTTTTTGGGCATTGCAATCACAACGCAAATACAAAACTCTCATCCAGAAGGGGGCAAAAAACACAGATTTCACACAACATTCTCTCTTTCATAATTTTTTCCAACCTGCATGCTTGCTCCTTTCATATGAAATGAACAACACATAACCTCATTTCTCATCTGCTCTAGCTCCTCTGACTCCAACTCCGGCTCAGATGAGGAGGAGTCCATGTCGGAGGGAGAGATGGCACGGCTGATGGAGGAGGTGGAGGAGAAGAAGAAACTGATTGCCAATATCAGAAACAAGCCATGGAGGATGAAGCGGAGGCTCGTACTTTTAAAGTAATCTCTCTCTCTTGCACGTGATACAGCCTAAAGTATTGGTATTTATGCGTTAGGTTGAATAATTGAACTCTTCTAAATAGGGAGGCTCAGCAATTTGTGGATAAATTTGAAGGAGCGTTGGGCAAAGGCAAAGGGAGGAAGTGGTACGCCTACAAAGTGATGATGACTAAGGTTAGTCATATATCTTTATAAATCTAGTTTTCCAGCTCTATTGGTGTGTATGTGCACCGGCTTTTATAATCTTCTTTTTTTAATCACAGAAATGGATAAAGTTTCAGAGGGATTTTGAAAATTTTAGAACTGCTTGTATCCCCTGGGAAAGGAAGATCAAAGAGGTTGAAAGTAAGTTGTGGTAACAACAGCAGTGATTCACTGTAAGGCAATGCCTCGTTTCAAAACTAAATCTCTTCAACACCCTCAGGCCACTTTGGTTCATCTGTGGCTTCTTACTTCATCTTCCTGCGCTGGATGTATGGCATGAATCTCGTCCTTTTTGGTTTGACTTTTGGACTCGTAGTCATCCCAGAGGTAAAAAAAAAAAAGCGGTGATCTAAAAAAACAAAACCAAAACAATATTTTTAAATGAGCAGCCATCTAAAGAGCAAAATGAACATAAAATGAACAACTAATTTTTGTACTTTTAACTTCTGTAGGTCCTGATGGGTCTTCCCTATGGGTCTGTTCCGAGAAAGACTGTACCCAGAGCAGAGCAGGACACTGCTCAGGACTATTCCGTTCTCATGGATTTCAACGTGAGACTGATTTATGTTTAAATTGCCAATAAGTAGTCTAGGGAAATTATATTTAGGAACTGATTAATTAGCAATGGTATCTTTATCATTGTTTTCTCTAATCATTTTTTATTTTTTTAAAGATTTTGTTGGCTCTAGTGGCCTTTAATGATAGTAGCTGAAAGTGTAGAGCAGGGGCTCCCAAATCCGGTCCTTGAGGGCCACTATGCAGCAGGTTTTAGAGGTTTCCCAGCTTCAACACACCTAATTATGATGAGCTGGATCAGTTCATAGGCTCTGCATACTGACCTGAATCAGGTGTGTTGAGGCAGGGACACTTCTTAAACCTGCAGGACAGTGGTCACCCAGGACTTAGGACGCCCCTGGTATGGAGGGTATAGAGGGTGCCACAGGTGGAGGTGGGACTAGACGCACAAGCAGATTCAGCAGACCAACTCACCAACACACTCCTACAGTCACTAAGTATACCAGGAAATACAAAGCCATACAGGCCAACTCACCTAAAATAACTCCCCCTGAGTCACCCAAACTGGTATTGCTTCTTCTAATCCAAATTCATTGACTGGACATTTTGCCTCACCTTCACTATTTTCCTCAAAGTCTGTCCAGTTACACTCAACTCCCTCAACAGTAACACAATGGAATTTTACACAAATCCTCTACATACTATTTCCATTCTCGCTGCTCTCACTTTTTCAAGGGTGGCACGGTGGTGTGGTGGTAAGCACTGTTGCTTCACAGCAAGAAGGTTCTGGGTTCGAGTCCCAGGGGAACCTGGACCTTTCTGTGTGGAGTTTGCATGTTCTCTCTGGGTTCTCCGGCTTCCTCCCACCGTCCAAAAACCTGCATGTTAGGTTGATTGGGCATTCCAAATTGCCCTTAGGAGTGAATGCGTGGTGTGTGTGGTTGCTTGTCCTTGTGTATGGCCCTGCGATGGACTGGCGTACTGTCCAGGGTGTACCTTGCCCATTGAACAATGGCATAGGCTCCAGTTCTTCCCGCAACCCCATTAGGGAATAAGCAATAATGGTTGGCTGGAAGCTTTTTCAATGAATATGCTTCGACTACAATTTCCTCTGGAGGAACAGTCAGCTCAATGAGACACATTTTACTACAAGACCACAACACTATATCCGACCTTAGATCTGTAGAGGCTTTTTCCTGGGGAACAACGATCTTTCCTGCAAAATCTACTTGCATTTTTCAATAACAAGACTCCTCTAAGCTCCCCCTCTTGAACAAGCTGAATGGCCACTCTCTTCACCTTAGAGCCCTTATGTTCAGTAACCGGCAGCTAAGGTTTTCAATACTTGGTTGTGTCACCACAGATGCTGTCCTTGTAACAGACTAACCTTACAGTCTGACAACATATGCCTTAGAGTAGCAGTACCTGCACATAACTAACATAGTGGGTCTGTATTTACCCAGTTTTAGGTTCAGGGGAGTGCTAATACATCAAATGTTGACCCTATAAATGACTTTCCTCCATAGTCCACAGCTCTTTTTAAGTAAGCTTTTTCCTCTGTATGCTTTCCTAATATCACCACTGTACCTGGTTGGCCTGAGCCACTGCCTTTGTACCCCTTGACATTTTGTTTTTGTCTATGAACCAGCTCAACAAGCTTTCTCTTTTCCTTTGGACCTGCTCTACTACACGCCGAGTTGCCTGGGCCAAGCGCCAAGCCTCCCTGGCCTTTTTTAACATTACTCACAATCTCTGTATGCTCAAGAGCTGCCATTTCTTCTCCTTGTTTGGGTTTTGGAACCACCTTGCTAGCTACCACATCATTACCCCCACATAGCAGGAGCCCTGTCATAACTTCAGTACATTTAAACTCATCTTAAAAGAAAATTCTGGGAGCTGTAGTATGCCTTTCTCATACAGTGCCACCGAACTTACACGTTTAGGAACACCTAGCCATTTCCTAATGTAAGAACTAACTACAGTAATTCTTCGATTTTCTCAACAAATATTGGAATCTCCAGCACAGACAGTGTCTACGCCAACCTTGAAAACATTCAAAACATCACAGCTTTAACTTTCCTGGAAGCCCTGACTATTTTATCCAGTCCCTAAGTAACATCTTTTCAAAACTGCTCTTCCTGTTTTACATCATTCAAGCCTGCCTGGTACATCCTGCCTAAAGTCTTTACTGCCTTTTCCCTAATTATTGCATTTTTTTTGTCTATCAAAAACTTTCTATCACTTAATCTCCCTCTACTTATTAAGATGATTCTGGATCTACTATGTTTGACTTTCATTCCAGCCCACTTTAGGTTTGTATTAAGTCTGTCAAGTATTATCTTCATGTATGGCACTGCTAAGGGTCACAAGGCCATATCCATATTCGGTGCAATGCGTATGCCAGCCTCTCTGTCCACCAAATGTAGATAGAGAATTCCTACACCCTGCCTTAATATCTATTTCTGCCTCTTCCAACGTGTTGTGAAACTTGGCACAGTCTAAGTCCTAGAAATTGGCTCTTACCAACAACTAGGAAAGGCACTCAAAAATCATTCAACACTTTCAACATAAGGCTGTGTGGCACTGAACCAAATGCATTTGCTAGATCCAGAAATGTAATATGCAAGTGTTTTTTTTTCACTCTTGGTTTCTTGAATCTGATGCCAGATCATGCTTTTGTGCTCTAAACACCCTGTGAAACCTGGTATTCCTGCCTTTTCCTGACTTCTTTACAGAATCTAATGTTTGGTAAAACTACACCAAACATTAATGCCCTCCTTTCTCCCTCTCTGAAGCTCTTTTCCACTTCTCACCTAAAAAATCTCTTTTAGGTGGGAAAATCTGTATTAGGTGGACCTGCATCCATTCTTAGAACCTCCACGGCCATAGCTGTGTTATTGATATCCTTCTTTTCTACCTGCTGCTAGACCTACTCTATTGACTTCTTTAAACCCTAATGATTGATTCAGCACACTGCCCTTCTTTTACAAAACATCTGTTTCTTCCCAGAGGTATTTTAAGGCTTCTAACTAATGCTGCTTTCTGACAGCCACAAGGAGCTTATTTCTCAATAGCCTGACTTTTATTCTATCCAGCTATGCTCACTTTTCCCTGAGAAATAATCAGCCCATCTCTAGCCTTAGAGAATAGGTCAGTGCCCCTATCCTTCACTGATTCCCATCTCCAACTCATAGTCATGTTCGTTCCAGTGTCAGTTGCCATGTTGTCTGCTTGTGAGTCATCTTCGGCCCCTGATCTTTCTCTGACTAGGGGTATTCTCCTTAGTTTAGTGATAGCTTATTCTGGTTCTGACAAAATTGCTAGGCCTCGCTACTGCTACCATAGATTGCTAGCCTATGGGTGGGTCTTTGGGTCTTTGCCTCCTGTTAGCTGTTGTTCCAGTCTGGCACATGGTCTTTCTTTTATTGTCATCTACCTTATTCAAACCAGTCACTAGCTTGGCTCAACAGAACTTTCATATTAAAATTACTCCAAAGTGAATGTACACTGAGCTAGCTAACACATAAGGAAGAAAAGAAAGGGAAGGAGGAATGACAAGGGGAACGTCAATTGTGTCTCTTCCTTCCTCAGGGATATTGCAAATACTCTGTACTGTTCTATGGATATTACAATGACCAGAGGACCATTGGCTTACTGAAGTTCAGGCTGCCACTGTCCTACCTCTTGGTGGGGATCGGCACCTTCGGCTACAGTCTGATGCTTGTGATCCGCACGTGAGTCTGCAGCATAATTGCATCTGACTCTGTGGTGCTTTATACGTTACAGAATGCATTCATGCATTGTTATTATTATTCACGCAGTTTTAGTTGGTTTGATCAAAATAAATGTATTTTGCTCAGGGATCTTTTTGGAAATATCAATGTCCTGTTGAATATATCATGATCTGATATCAGCTGATAAATAAAAGCTATACTAAACCTTGTAGCTTCAGTGTAACTCATTTCCAAAAATGGGGACATTTGATATTGAGATGACGATTGATGATGAGATCACGACTTCTTTTGGCCACAATAATGTTGGGGTAGTGTGGATTTTAAGAAAGTTTTGGTTTACCTACCCTATTAAGAAGAGTTTTTATGTGTTTTTAAGCATGGCTAAGAATGCTGATGTTGGTGGTGGAGATGGAGATGAAGGAGAATTCACCTTTGCCTGGAAGATGTTCACCAGCTGGGATTACCTCATTGGCAATGCAGAGACCGCTGACAACAAGTACGCCTCCATCACCACCAGCTTCAAGGTAACCATTTCAACTTTACAGCTCTAGATTTCCGGGGAGCACTTCATAGCACATCCACTCACAAACATTAGAACTAGTTCTGCTGGCGGTCAGTTGTCTTTGTTTTTGTCGAGGAATAGGAGTCCATTGTGGACGAGCAAGAGAACCAGAAGGATGAGAACATTCACCTGCGAAGGTTCCTCAGAGTCCTGGCCAACTTTCTGATCACCTGCAGCCTTGGCGGGAGTGGCTATCTCATCTACTTTGTGGTGAAGAGGTCTCAGGAATTCGCCAACAGGGATGACCTCAGCTGGTATGAAAAGAACGAGGTAATGACAAGCCTAAAAAGTTCGCTTCCTTCAACAGGTTTATGGAGCAAAGAACTGATTGAATTTCACTTCTGTTTGATACATTTTAATCAAACTGATACGACATCATACAGTAGTGAGCAGTGTGTGTGATTACAACCTGTTTTTCAAGTTGGAGCTCATCATGTCTCTGCTGGGCCTGGTCTGCCCCCCTCTGTTTGAGACTATCGCTGAGCTTGAGGATTACCACCCCCGAATCGCTCTCAAGTGGCAGCTGGGACGCATCTTTGCGCTCTTTCTGGGAAACCTCTACACCTTCCTATTTGCCCTGTTTGATGAGGTCAACTCTAAGGTATGTCTGCAGTGTCTTTGTGTTTTTCAATTCGCTGCAAAATGGGGAAAGATCTCTAACAGTGACAGATTTTAAAAACATGAAAAAATAAAAGATTAATTTCTCTGTTGTGTGGACTTTTGTGGAACCTTTATGTATTTTTACATGTATTTTAGTGTGGACCCTTGACCTGGTTGCTGATTTTTCACAATGATTATGATCGTGATTCACTCTGAAATGCCATATAATAACAACCTTTCTTTTTTTACTCTGCGCATTCAGCGTGCAGTCATTTATTTAGTTCTTATTTTCCTGGAATATGTACTGTAAGTAAATAAGATTAAAGATGCTGATTGATTACATTCTTTGTTCACAGTTGGAAGAGGAGCAGTCCATAAAGAATGCTTCCCTCTGGGCCTTGAAGGAATACTATGCCAACTACACACGTATGCTGAATGACAGTGATTCTACCCCGCCTCCAATGAACCCTGCTGATGTTATCAGAGGACCCTGCTGGGAGACTGCTGTTGGAATTGTACTTTACATTAAAGCATGCATGGTTTTTTGTTATTTTAACTGGAACTATCCGACTCATTATATTCATATACTAACTAAAGTAGCAATTACACTTTCTGAAGCAAAAGTACTTATTTGAAAGGTCTCTGTAACTTCTTTTTAAATTTAAGATTGTACATTTCTTGACTTTGTGATGCTGCAGGAGTTTGTGAAGCTGACTGTATCAGACATTCAGGTGACCTACCTGACCATCCTGATCGGTGACTTTGCCAGAGCCGTCATCGTTCGTTTCCTCAACTACTGCTGGTGCTGGGACCTTGAAGCTGGATTTGTAAGTCCTACAGCTGCCATTTTTTGTTTCAAACTGATATTATACACATGATTGTCACTGATGTATCTAATCAGTGGTCTAATCCTTTGGTCCCTACGTAATGTGAGACAAGAATGCTGATATTCAAAACAGATATTATGATCATAGAAAAATATATGAAAAACAATTTACCTGATTATTTGAGGAGGCACCTTTAATTGTTTTGGAAGGATCTGTGGACAAAAAACAAAGATTGTCTGATGACAGTCTATCATTTCCATGTAAAGGCCATGTAGATAAAGCATGAGAGTATGTGAGAATGAGCAACTGTCTCACAAGGAAATTAAGTAATTGAATATTAAATTGCCACTTTTGCGTAGGCTGTAGGTGCTTCATGCACACAAACACGTTTACACAGATATTTAAATGCGACTTTTAGGTGCTAACCTTAAAACATCGACCACTTCCATTTTTAAGGTAAACAGCATTTTTGTAATTCATTGGATAAAAGCAAGTTCACACAAATATCATCAGTTTAGAATCTGTAGTATTGTTATTGCTGACCAAATTCGGTTAGTCTTACCCCAGGTCCTGATGATATTATAGATGTTAAAGTTGCTAAGACCCTATCACTGTGTAAGTGTTTTGTCTGTTCACTTTCAGCCTTCTTACGGAGAATTTGACATCAGTGGAAATGTTCTTGGGCTGGTCTTCAATCAAGGGATGATCTGGTAAAAAACTACATAATGATTCCAGACACACACCGCACATATTTTGTCTGCACTTGTTCTGAGGTGGATAGTAACAAAGTAAACATACTTGAGTACTGTGCTTAAGTACAGTTTTAGAGAATTTGTACTTTACTTTTTGGAAAACTTACTTTACTTTTTTCTCCACTACATTTTAGAGATAAAAATCATACTTTTCACATTACTATTAGTTTTTGAAGGTTTCGCTACTCGTTACTTCTGTTTGTCTTCTGTACAGTAAGTGGTGTTATGCAGCTGTTAAACTAGTTGCTTGGACAAAGATTTATTTTTGCCCTATGAATGTTGTTGTTCAGGTACACTAGGTGCAATCACAGGGTTGATTGATGAATCCTGGGTTAGACTTAATTCTTGTTTGGTCTCTAGTTGTTCTAGTGTAAACTGTAAGTGTAATATTTCAAGTTCCAGCTTTCCTTGACTTCTGTTGAAAATATCTATTTTATATGCATTTTTTCGATTCAAACCGCACCACATGTTATGCTTAGGCATTAGCCCTGCATCCAGAGGGTCGCTGGTTCGAATCCACGCTGTCTTTGTGCCTCTGGTCAAAACACGTTATATAACCTGATAGTGTGACTGTGGTTGTCTGGAGGAACATTTTTAGATACAGAATGCACTACCACTCCAAATGCGACCGAGGAGCGACTGAAAATTAAATAGTAAAGGGCTGTTGAGTGTCTGGAAAAGTGCTTTATTTTAATCTATTATTATCATACATTTGGATTTACTGTCCAGTCCAATGTGTCAGAAAAGTTTCCCCAACTGTTCTGGACTGCACTCAATTAAAACTGTTTAAAAAAACTTTTTCAAAATTGAAAATGTTCAAGTACTTTGAATACTTAAGTATTTTTGAAAGCACCATAGTCCTATAACTCAAGTGATAATTTTATAGTTAAGTTATATTTGACCAGTGGGATATACACTTTTACTCAAGTAATGAAACTGAGTACTTTGTCCACCTCTGCAGTTGTGTATGCATAGGTGTGTCTTACTGCTTTAGGTTGCAATGAAAATTCTAACACTTAACCTACTAAAGCTAAAAACGGCTATTTTGACATTTTTTACTTGCTCCAAATGTTGCGAAGAAGTTATGCTTAAAACAGAATATGCTCTCCGCTATCAGGAAGCGTTCATAGCCCTGTCCTCTATGAACTGAACACACATAATTACAACTATCTAACACTACTTAAAAAGCAAAAATCTCTTTTGCTCACTTTCTTTTTCTTTCTTTTCTTTGAGTCTTTTTTTTCTCCCTCATCTTCCCTCATCTTCCATTTCCATTTTAGCAGTACTCTTCTACTTTACCGTAATATATACAATATATCATCTAGTGTCTCTGTTAGGGTAAGAATTTTTCCGATTGAGGAATTTTTGATGGAGTTACGATAATAACAAACGTACAAATAAACATGGCACCGATACTACTGAAATAGGTAAACAGAAATGACAGTCCCAGGATACAGATTGTACTTGTCCATTTTTATTTTAAATGTATTAATAGTTTAGTTGAAAGTAAAAATGGTCAAATTCGTAACAGATGACTTGAGGTTCTGAAAGAATGTATTTAGTAAAATGCATGATTCAGTATGTTTAAGTTAAAACAAGTTTGAGTTTAGCTTCCAGTAAAATAATGCTATGTCAGTGATGTTGCCAATGAGGCTTAATCAAGTCAGTTTGAGGTAAGTTGTTGGAAGTGACATCGTTTTTTACCATCTAATACTGTGTTTTTAAAATTTTTAAAAATGTATACACAAAAAACTCACTGGCCTGTCAAATACCAGTTGGACAACAGAGTGTCATTACACATGGTAATGGAGTAACACTGTGTTTGATATTCATTACATAACTGTTTTTGTTTTTATTTTGTATGAAATTTCTTGTTTAAACAGTGTTTAAAATGATTTATTATTTCGTGTTTTCAGTTGACTTTACAAGTGTGTACATAAATCATTCAAAACTCTTACCAAACTATAAAATCCGTATTTTGTTGATTGGTTTGAAGCTTTATTTATCAGATATAAGTTCAGATAGAACCATGTGAGCTATTTAATCTGTTACTATTCTTGCTCAATACAAGCAGCTGCTCAGAGGTCAGTGTTGTTTTCTACATTTGCTCTACATTGCACTCCAGGTTTCTGAGACAGATCTGAACTACAGGCTTGACTGTCAAACTTACAACTCCTTTAGTTATGAATTCCTACTGGAGAAAAGCTGAGAAGAAACCTTGGTAGTGGCAGGCGTTTCTCCAAAATTCTGATCCAAGACTTCACATTAATTGTACCTTCCCACTATGGAAGTCACCAATACTTTGGTTCAGAGAGAATATACTATCACAAATAGTGGATGTTGCACCTTTCTCTAGAATTCCTTGAAATAGGAATGAGGTTTTTCTCTAAAAAGCAGCTGGAACATGAACTCATCAAGCAACACGTGTCTTCTGTGCAGTGCTGCTTAACCGCATAGTGTACGTGTATTTTGTATACTTTTGAGAGGTTTCTTGGCTGTGTTCCTCAGGGGATTTAGTGGGAAGGCAGTGAGAGCACAAGGGCTCCTGCACGCTATTATTTTCCCTTACAAAAAAAGCAAGAGCTGTGTTGCAACTTGGGATGGAGATTGTGACTGGGGATACATGTCTGGATTTGTCTCCTGGACCTAGAGCATAAGCAATCCAACCTCATAAGAACACAAGATGATAGATGGAAGAATAGATATAGTGTATCTGTAGTTCAGACTTCACTGCAGAACATTAAAATGTTCTTTGCAGTCTTTCTTAAACTTATTAATGATTTTTTTGACAATTTGGTACAAAGTCACAAATCATAGCTCATTCTTGCTTGTGATGACTACAATTCCAGTAAAGGCTACGACTTCCCTCTTTTAGAACACTCATAATACTTACACATTTTTCTATTTCCCTAATTTTTTCAAGTGCTCTACATTCATCAAGTTCAACATTTGTTCTAACTTTTATTGGTTTGTGAGGACACTAACAATAATTTAGCCTGACCTATCTCTTCAATCAAGCTTTAAATTGATGAAGATCTTACAGTTTTTACTTAGCGATACTTATTTATACTATATCTATGTCTCTATCTAATATCACCTTGTTCAGTGTCATGCACTTGTGTGTCAAGATATCTTTGCAGTGTGTCGAAACCATTTACAACAATTGTGCCAACACACAAAAGAACACAACCCTGAAGATGGTAATCATTAAGTCATGTGATGTTTCGTTTCAGGATGGGTGCGTTTTATGCTCCTGGGCTGGTCGGTATCAACGTTCTCCGTCTTCTCAGCTCCATGTACTATCAGTGTTGGGCCGTGATGGCCACAAACGTTCCACATGAGAGGGTATTCAAGGCCTCCAAGTCCAATAACTTCTACATGGGTCTTCTGCTCCTGATCCTCTTTTTGAGTCTTTTACCAGTCGTCTACACCATCATGACCCTGCCACCTTCGTTTGACTGCGGACCTTTCAGGTTAAAAAAATTACCGTATGCATGACTATATCTCTAGAAACAAGCATGTACTAATATGAAAAAATATGTGTGACTGAGCAGTGGGAAGGCAAAGATGTTTGATGTCATTATGGAGACAATTGAGCTGGACTTGCCTGCTTTCATTGGGACGCTTTTCAGCTATGCCGCTAACCCCGGCCTTATTATACCAGCTGTGCTGCTCATGGTGTGAGTATGGACAAGTGGATACACATAAAATTATGCATGGTCCTTTTTAGACAGTTGGGATGCATTATCTTATGGGCATCTCGTTACTTAAGTGACTTTACTTTCTTACAGACTGGCTATATATTATCTCAACTCTGTGTCTGAGGCCTACCAAAATTCCAATATGGAGCTCAAGAAGAAAATGCAGATGGTAAGTGCATAAAGGGATCAAAAGAAATGTGGATTATCTGCATGTAGTGCTGTGTCCAACATTTTTAGACAGACTTAATTAAATGGTGGCATTTCAGTCACTAAAAGCACATTTACACATTTTCAACATTTAAAAATGAAAAAAGTTTATTAATGTTACACGTTCAGTTTCAGCTTGAAATCAAAAGATATACAGTGTGTCATGCAGAGTATATTATTCTCAGATTTTCTTTAATAGTTGATGCAAATGACAAGTCATCAGCCATCATTTACTTTAATTAATTAGAATGTTATTGAATAAACCTCCCAATGATAACGCTACTTTTTTTCAATAATAAAAAACACACCCAAAGTTTTTATTACATTTCATAGGTTGTTCGGAATAGGAAAATGCAAATTTTTTAATTTGCAGCATTAGGTGGTCATATTTACTAAAATCGAAAGCTGATTCATCCATCCATCCATCCATTTTCCGCCGCTTATCCGGGGTCGGGTCGCGGGGGCAGAAGCCGAAGCAGGGAAACCCAGACTTCCCTCTCCCCGGCCACTTCCGCCAGCTCCTCCGGGGGGATCCCGAGGCATTCCCAGGCCAGCCGGGACACATAGTCCCTCCAGCGGGTCCTGGGTCTTCCTCTGGGCCTTCTCCCGGTGGGACGAGCCCGGAACACCTCCCCAGGGAGGCGACCAGGAGGCATCCTGAACAGATGCCCGAGCCACCTCAACTGGCTCCTCTCCACGTGGAGGAGCAGCGGCTCTACTCTGAGCCCCTCCCGGATGGCCGAGCTTCTCACCCCATCTCTAAGGGAGAGCCCAGCCACCCTGCGGAGGAAACTCATTTCGGCTGCTTGTATCCGCGATCTTGTTCTTTCGGTCACTACCCAAAGTTCGTGGCCATAGACGAGGGTGGGAACGTAGATCGACCGATAAATTGAGAGCTTCGCCTTTAGGCTCAGCTCTCTCTTCATCACGACAGACCGGTACAGCGCCCGCATTACTGCAGACGCCGCACCGATCCGCCTATGGATCTCACGCTCCCTACCCCCATTCGCGAAAAGGACCCCGAAATACTTGAACTCCTCCACTTGGGGAAGGACGTCCGCTCCGACCCGGAGAAGGCACTCTACCTTTCTCCGGTGAGAGACCATGGTCTCGGACTTGGAGGAAAGCTGATTCAATGACAAAAAATTTGATAGCAGATTCACAATTCTTGCAACCATTAACCTTGTGAGTTTGGGAAAGTTTCTGCTTGAATTTCTATGCAGGATGTCAGAATACTCCCTGGTCCAAAGCATTGAACTGTTTCACGCTAAACCGAACTATTTCATGCTAACCCTTACTCTTTTCGCTTTTATGCACTCCACAACTTTGGCTGTAAGAAATGGTATAATACCTTGGTGACCATTTCATGTATAACTAATAAGCAGTCCAGCCTGAACCTTTTAAATGCCCCACACTTCCATGTAGAAGCTCATAATCTTTCTGCCACTGGCTTATTCCTTTTCTCTTGTGATCAGGCTAGGGATGAAGAGAAGAACCGGAGAAACAACACAAACAGCACCAACCAGGTCATGCAGGATCTGGAAGATCTGCTGCCAAACCGATCCCTGGCCCCCCCTGCTCCACCTGAGCCTGGTCAGTAATACTCTGAACAGCGATGCTGTTTCTTGCATGATGGCCTTTGTCTTCAGAACTGTTTCTCTGTCTAAACAGAAAAAAAACCAGAGCAAGAGGCAAAGCCCACCAAGACAAAGGCTGGAGCTGCTGGTAAAGGCGTTAACCTTCAGAAAGACGTGTCGCTGGCTTCACCCAACCCTAATGCTAGAGGGCCAGTAAGCCGGCCGCCCGGGCCGAGAGGTCCTGGACCAGCGCCAGGGCCGGGGGCTCGACCAGGTCAAGGCCGTGGGAGAGGGCCCCCTCCAAGATAATGGTGAAAAAATACCAGTACCAAGGCCATTTTCATCCCAAAGACTATTCCAAAAGAAGGACTGGTAGCTTTCTTAAACTGGAGTTTAAGATGGTGGTATTTCCGAGGGATTCTACAGGTTGAGTCAAAAGTCACAGGACATAGTTTTGTTATTTTTTACCATTTGGAATATGTCAAGAATATGGCCCACCAACCCATTTTCAAAGCTGCCATACAGGATCAAGGGCAATCTTCTTCACATCACCACCATCCCGCTGGAAAAACTTCAAAATGAAAAAAATAAGCCTTTTGACTTTTGACTTTTGACTCATCCTATGGTACTTTGAAATTCCATGTAGATTTGTTTTCACAACACTAACATTTTAGACGGCAACCTGCTGTACTATTTAGCAATGCAGTTCATTTAAATGCCTAAGTTCTGTCTTGTGCAATTCTTAAATGAAGAGGAAAGGCTCTCGACTACTTTACCAACATAACCAAGGCTATTAGTTTCAACTTTCTAAATTCCCTGTGTGCATTACATAACTTTATCTTAATTTGGGATTGATCTGTAAACTTAGTTATATTCACCCATCCGTGTGTGTGGGAGGGGGGGGGGGGGGGGGG